TGCTCAAATTAAGAACTTGTATTGGTGGACGGATGGAGAAAATTGAAGAGATATGAATTTCTAAAATTTCACTAAAAATATATACATACTTTTATATTCTATATTAATATAATTTTTTTTATATTTATTTTTTAGTACTAAAAACTTTTCTTAACTTAAAAATAAATCGAAAAAGCGTTAGTGTGTTAATTTGGTGGAAGTTTCACTGCATAAAAGCATACATTTACACACATATAGTGCATTTATATACATATGTATATGCATGTATTGGAAACATATGAGCATGCATTGCAATGAACGGCATACGCCCACAGCTGAGTAGAATATTTTTAGAATATGAAATATTCGTTGTAAAAAAGTTTACAATTTCGAAATGCCGTTAAGCGAACAATGGAAATGCAATGAACTCGTCAAGGAAATTCCAATTTGAAAAAATATGAAATATACCTATGTACAAGTATATATGCACTTACATACGAATGTATATAAGTTGATGTTTCAGCGATATTCGTATGGCGAAGAGACAGATATTTTGGAAAAAATATGAAAAAATATAATGTATATGGGTATAATCAAAAATTTAAATTAAAAAAAAATATATATATATTGAAATTAAGTATATTCAATTTTTATATATTTTCGAAATTAAAAAAAAAAGAGTTCATGAGAGTAATTTTTATTGTCCCCAGCTGATTGCAAAAATTGCTATATACATACCACCATATACTTACAATGTTATTATATACCTATAATAGTTTCTAACACGAAATATTTGGCATTCAACCCAATTAACTTGGCGAACATCACAAAACACCTCTTGAGAAATTTGCTCTATTAATTTAACTTTTTATTTGCATCTATGCAAATGTATAAGTACATTTTAACAGTACACACTAAAAACGGTCAACCTATTGGGCGATTAATGCCAGCGAAAACTCTTTCAATGATGATTAACAACAGCAATTGGACAATTGGGTTAAACGCATGCAAAAGTGTATAGATCTTAATGGAGAATATTTTGAAAAACAATAAAGCGATTTTCGATCATTAATATTTGTTTTTGTTCTGTAACTGATCTGTATTTATGCGGTCTCTGGCGTCAGTGTTACAGATGTATGTTATTGAGTAACCCTTTTCCTTAGTTTAAACATCGTTCACTTTTAAAGTGGCGCGACAAGCGCAAAGAAAAACTTATGAAAGCATTTTACGGGCTGAGGTTGGGTCCTGAAAGCCAAACTGTTAAAGAAATAATATAAAGATGTAAAATTTCACCAAACACTTAATGATTTTTAAAATTCGTTTTCTTTGTTAAACCTTTAAATATCTCTCACTAAAGAATTGTGGTGCTTTTCCTCAAGGTGTAGAGCTTTCATTGATTAAGGACTTTCTATGTTAGATTCAAAGCTCAGTTGGGTTCTGTTGGATTTTACTCATCGTTCATAAGTACTGAACTTGATCTAAATTATTTATAGATGTCATTATGACATTTCTCTGCTTGCTACAGTTCAGTGTTTCTCTTTACATATGTTACATATGTGAGACGAAAACAACAAGATAATTAGTTAGTTTGATTCTTGATGGGAGAATATTGATAATAACTATAATAATCCTAAATTTTTCGAGGAAAATTAAAGTATTCATAACTTTGATCTAGGATCGGCTAGGCAAATAATAGAAAAAAGTGCGTAATGGGTTGAGTGCGTAGCGGCAATTTTGTTTATTGACGAATCCATTAAGCCAGAAATGGGCTTGATTTAAGAAGATGATTTTTCGATGAACGTGAATTTGTGAATTTTTCGGAGAACGTGGATTTGCGAAATATTATTGGATAACTTCTAAGCGTTGTACTAAATTGAAACGTGACATGATGATATGAATAGCAAACCCTACTGAACACACTGACTAAATTTGATACAAATCTGTAAATAAACATAGCCGCCCCAAGCAGTCAAAATCACGTCATCCCTATTGGTAGACGTTGTACATATAGTACAAGATTCTCATTGATTTAAATACTTCCAATATATTATTCAATTAGTTTTAAATTATTAATTTAATAAAAATAAAGATCATACATTCATATATGTATATGCATACAAGTAAACATGATAGCGTTATGTACATAAATAAATTTAAATTGTTATTAATTTGTAGTATGTAGAATAATATTTATCGAAGATAAGAGTGAGCAAACTTTAGAAGTGTGTATTGTCAATCAAAAACGGCGTGAAAACAACATCTAATCAATTTTAATTGACATCTTTATTAAAATATGCCACATGAATTTTAAGTAAATATTTACGGCCAAATACTACAAATATGTTTTTATGCATAAACAAGATTTTATATATATGTATGTAAATACCCAGTAGGAAATATAAATTAGTCAAATTAATTACTAAATATTTATAAGCATAAAAATATGGCAGCGACGTGATGGAAAGAAAAGATAATGTTCCGTAAAAAATACAAATTAAAATGACGAAATGGAAAACATAAACTAAAATGAATCAAACTGTAAAATGGCATATATCGTTTATAAATATGCAAATAATCTTTAGACCATAGACATGAGACTTAGCTTCAAGCCTTACTTTTTATAGATGTTTACATCATATGTATAATAATATAATATATAATATATATATAATATTTATAACTTTTATTTTGAATTTTATTATTCAAAACATTTTTTCGCGGCGACCTTTGGTCACAGAGTTATATTAATGTGAAGAGTTGATTGAATGCTAAATTAAAATCAATTAAGTGGGAAGAACGAAAAAAAAAAGCTTTTTGGCACTAGTAGATTGAAACACTTAAGACACAAGAATACACACACATAAACACAAAAGAAATGTGACAATTCCATATATAGTCATGCATGTCTGAATATTTAACTGGATATGAAGACTTTGTTTTCGATATCCACTTTTTGTCCCATAACTTATTGAATGTTTATTTTTAGACTCTTTTACTTTTTTATACTCACACCTACAGTGTCTTTTGTGTGCTCCTTTTTTACATGGTTTAATGGGCTTAAGAGAAGGTTAATTGTTTTCTGGCCCGAATAAAAGAAATAAATTTATCACAAAATTAGGGTAGCTTACATTCGAAGTAATCATAAACAAAGGACAGTCGATGTCATGCAAAAGAAAGTAATCCTACTTTCTTTGTAGATATGTGTAAAGTAAACATAAACAAGTCTGAAATATGAAAAATCAAGCGAAAAAATAAATTTAATTAAATAAAAAATTTTGCACAAGATCTACATATGTGGTAAGGCGCTTTAACATTTTCTGCTCTTAGCTTCAAACTTGGTGGACCTTGTCTCACGAAAACACTTGTTATTTTATTTTCAATGTCTACCCTAATTGATAATTCCTCTACAAATTTCGTAGGCTCGTCCGAAATCGTTTGAGCACGCTAATTGTGTACATGCACATCATATATGTTATATACATACATACATTTATATTTGTGCAAAATCATGTAAATGTTAATTGCGCTAAACACTCTGGATCCAATTTATGAATATTTACAATTTTCTCATGACCTTGTTAATTAGTTGAAAATAACAAAGAAATTTATAAGTTTTCATTTTATAATACCTTGACCTCGGGTATTTTATATTTGTAAATAAATCTACATATGTTTCCGTTTGTCTAAAGTCATTTGCCCTTACCACCAAATGGTTTAAATAGTTTTAATTAAAAACTTCTAATTGCATATGCGATGTGATGTCATATAATGTCATATGATGTTAAGTTGTGGGATGCTATTTTGACGTAATGATGTATGTATGATGTGATGCGATGTCTTATGTCGTGATGTGATGCGATCTTTTACGTAGGTTGCCTTTTATATTTCGGGATTTGGCAACCCTGGTGGTGCAATGTGATAATTCACAACTTTATCGTAAAGTTTGACATTTTTGACGTTATATATACTCAGGACGTTTTGACATACAAGCGATATTTGTGTTGCTTACAGTAACTTAAAATATTCATATCGGCCATAAAATGGAAATAAATCGCGAACATTTTCCCGCGGTTATTTTTAGCAACTTGCGACGTGAATTAAGTCATCAAAAGTGACCGATGAACTTTTTGGTCATGAAGCTCCATCAAGGACCAGTGTTTATCGATGGTATGGTGAATTCAATCGAGGTCGTAGATCACTACAAGACAAATTTCGTGAAGGTCGTCCACAATCAGTTGTTGTTCCGCAAACTATTGATGCGGTTATTATTCCACTTAGTTACTCTCTTAGTCTAAATGTACTAAAAAATTCAAAAAAAAGATGTTCAAGACATTTTGATAGTTTCTTGCAGATAAAGGGAGCAGAATAATAGCTCATCGAAATTTTTTTTATAATAAACAAGCAATAAGGAATTAGTAATTATTTTAGGAAGGGTACTTCGAAATCACATACAAAACGGTAATAAAACATCAGCTGTTTATGAATGTATGTTCTTTCATTTGCGAGCGAGTTGAGATTTCTTTGAATTTATGTGTATAAAGCCGACAGTTGCTGGATATCTCATAACGCATTTAAAACATTTTTTTATAAATAAATTTATAAATATCTTTGTCAAATCCTCATCTAATATAGAAATTTGCTTTATTTTCAAATTTAAATGATTTTTGAAAAGTGTTGGAGTATAAAGGAATTTATAATTGTAGGGTAATAAACACTGCCGAAATTGTTTCTAACGGGTGTGATATGTGCTAAATTTCTAATTAAGAAAAAAACAGGAAAAAATCTTGATTTTGATCAGTCAGTTTGAATGGCAGCTATATGATATAGTGCTCCGCTATGAACAATATGTTCGGAGATTTTAGCATTGCTTTGGAAAATAATCCATGCTAAATTTCGGAAAGATATCTTGTCAAATTAAAAAGTTTTTCGTACAAGAAGGCTATAGTGGTCCGATCTGAACAATGTGTTCGGAGATTGTACCGTTGCCTTAGGCAATAATCTATGCCAAGTTTCGTAAAGGTATTTCGCCAAATAAAAGTCTTCCATACAAGGACTTGATTTTGATCGATAAGTTTGTATGGCAGCTAAATGTTACAATGGTATGATATCAGCGATTCTGATAAATGAGCAGTTTCTTGGGGAGAAAAGAATCAGTGCTAAATTTCAGATCGAAATCTCAGAAAATGGGGGACAAGTTTCCATAATATATGAAGAGACGGACAGGCTAAATCGACTCAGCTCATCACTTTATAGAGTCTCCGACGTTTCCTTCTGGTTGTTACAAACTTCGTGTTCAGGGTATACAAGTTTAATATACTCGATTACAATTATCGCTGAAAATGGTATTACAACTAGAGAAATAAAATAGCAATTAACTTTTTAACGCACTTAAAAGTCCGCAGTTGCTGTCGCTGCTTTCATCAAAAGAAATTTCCAACTATTCACATGTGAATGTTTGTATGTATGCGATTAAGCGACACAAATGCAATGAAAAGAAAGAATCACGCATGCGCAACTAAACAACTAAGCGGTAAATGCAGTTAAAAACGGAGCGAAAATGACAGCGACAGGCGACAAAAGCGTCCAAGCAATATCACGTTGTCGTTGAGAGATTTTGTTTTTCGAAAAAATTTGCTGTAAAGCGGAGCAACAATATTGATATTCAAAAATCAAAAACCACAAATCCAGCACAAAATGAAACACACGCATGGATACACACACACATAAAATCCAAAAGCAAAAAAAAAGGAAATGCAAAAAAGCCAAAATGCTGAACACATAAATTCTGCTGATCACGTTGCAATGCGTGACGATCACGCCGCGATCGGCTGACAGAAGCACAACAAACTCAGCTATTTGTTTTTCGTTTAATTTTCTTTTGTTTATACATGTATATCAGCTGTGTTCCATCTGGCGTACGGCAGGCCAACTGCGTGGCTCTCTCGCCGGTTTCCCTTTGCTGTTCAGCACGCAACTTAAACTTATGTAGATACTACATGCATATGTACATACGTATGCGAATGCATGTGTGTGTATATATTCGTTATGTAAATATGTGTGTATTATTCACTTCTGTACATACATAAATACAATGTAATTGTTTATGACGATCGTTTCGTAAAATTATTGTTTTTTTTGTTTTTTCGTTTTCTCATTTTCTCAATTTACCTATGAGCGCTAAATTCTATTTTGTTTATGTTTTGCCGCTACTAATAGTGTAGCCATTCCGGCTGCCGCTCCAATATTTGTACTTTGCCGCACAATGAGTCAATTGTGCTAATTATTTCAACCACATACACATACAATATACATACAAACACATACGTACGTATCCGCATATCAACATATGTATATGTGCGAATATACATAATTAACATTCTGGTTGCTAATCGCGGCCTTTGCGTATACTATGCAATCGCTAACCCTGACAAGCAGCATCACCCACAACAAACCTACATGTACATACATATGTATATATGTATGCATGTATAAGCTTAGAATTTGCAATTCTATATTTATAAAAAGTGCAACGCGTTCCAAAGTACACCAGTTTGCGTATAAAAAATACAAATCTACATATAAATACAAAGATATAAACATCCATACATACATACTACAATATATGTAAAATCTATGTATGTAAATAAGTTTGTTGCCTTTGGCTGGCATGCGCTAGCGGTGTGCTTCAGCCGGCTGAGAAATGTATTGTTCAGGCGATCAGCAGGCCTCAACGTCGTCAGAATAATAACAGCAACGTCAAACGGTCTAATAGTAGGCATTGAACCAAAAAAAGTTTAAAAATATCACGAATTTGTTTGGATAGTCAGCAATGCTTTGTGCGTGGTCAGTTTGTTAATAAGCGGCTAAATTATAATGCTTTCAATTTCAGTTGGCGTAGTTTGGTTGAATTTGAAAAACATAAAATTAAAATTATTTAAAAAAAATATGTCTAATACTTCAAGCCATCAATTACTTGTGCTTATTTATATTATTTTTGACTATAATGATGAATATACATACATAGGATTTTGACAGCTGCCGTAGGCAAGTGCCTCTGTTGCCATTCGCCAGTACAAAAATATTAAAAAATATAAAAAATAGCGAAGAAATAGAACTATTTTCGGCCGAGTAACTACATAATCAAAAAACCATCTGCAGTTTGAAGCATTTTAAAATTAGTGACTATGATTTTCATAATAGAAAATTCTGAGATATCATTTGTCGAAATCACTTTTAGTACTGGAAATACATAAATCATTTTCGGTCTGTACAATCAGTTTTTGTTAAACATTTTCTTGTAGATTAGCAGTTCGCGGCCATATGAAAAATTACTTGAGATCGAATATCGAAAAAGTACACCGATGACCACTTTTACAACAGTTATAGTAAAACATAATCTCAATTAGTAGGAACCCGAGCCTGATATCTAATTCTAAATGTGGAATGTTGTTGTAACATTTAAACAAGTTTCTGTGGAATAATTAAATTAACTAAAGACTTTAAAAGCTCATACATATCTAAAGAACTCAACTGCATTTGTAGCATTCCCTGTTTGCATTCCCTGTTTGCTTGCTCTATACGTAAAACCTGAACTTGAGGAACGCAGTTTCTTTGTCGTTTTTATATTTACAAAATTACGAACCTGTCTTGTAAATATGATACTGTTGCGGCCAATATTTTTTTGAACTGTATAAATGAATAATACCTATTGGATGATTGATACCCATCTCTTAATATACTCTTTAAAGGATCTTTTTCGATTGGATTGAAATAGATGTGATCGATTATACGCATTTTTAATTGATACTATCGCCGGCGTTGAAAAGGTATTCGAAAGATGGTATGTTGTAACCTAGTGTGTAGTGTGTTTTTCAGCTACCGAAAATTGGGAAACGTGGTTATAACTGCATTCCAACAAAGTCACGCATAACTTTCATATATGAAGTAGAAATATTGCCATTAGTATCACGGTTTTAGGAACTTTATTAAACCTTTGGGAGCTCTCAGCAATTCGTGATCATGAACGTTCTTACTACATATGTAAGTAGCGTGGGAAATTGGAAAATAATTTATTTTTAGCAAACCTTGTACAAGTTTTCATGCAAAACATGCAATCCTCGATCATTAGCATGTATGTTCCTCATATGTAATTTCCATAAATATAATATAATGTGTAGTTAAATATTTATAACCGCAAATAATTGATTTCATTGTTTGATTATTCTCACATTCATAACACATAAATGCACATATATAATGTTTATGTATATACTTATACATACATATCTATGTATTTACAATTGTAGTCTATAAATTACAAAGTTATCGAAATAAAAATGACTTTCTAAAATTTAATGACATAAGCAATAAAATCTAGTAGTAATATCCCTAACTAAGTGACTATATATTACATGCTCGTAATAAGTACCGGTATGCATAAATGGCATGTTTGTATGTAATTGAAGGCATATTTTTTTGACAAATCAAACCGGTTGAATTTTGCTATTTTGTAGTTAAACGGTTAATTGATTTATCGTTGCATTGTCAATTAATTATTTAACCTTTCACTAAATGTAAATTTGAGTTTCGAAATACCAGATGTGAAATTGAATAATCGCTGATAATGTGAATATACTAATTACATACTTTTATACGTATGTACGAGTATATTATTGTTTGGAAAATTACAATTGGAAATTTTTTGAAAATAAAAAGCATGAGAAATTCCATAAGTCTGATAATAATACAACTAAATTGTGGGAATTTAAGTCTCATAAATGCGGAATGCAAACAACATTCCCACAAATATTTACACAATTACAACAATAATTCAACAGAACGTTTTCAAGAATCGGCTGCTATACCCTTTCTAGAAGTGTAATCTAGTTTTTGCTGCTTAGACAGGATTGAAATAGACTTGGTTTCGATAAAAATTTCAAGTATGTATTGCCAGTTGCGATTTATTAAAACTTAGATAGTGCCGAATCGAACAAACAACTCGCGTAAGTTGGAAAGATTATTTATATTTAGACTAGGGTCCATATTTTTTAAACCACAAAAAAATAATAGCAGAATGAAACTCATTGGAAAAGAAAGAGAATATAATAAAACTGGAACGAAAAATAATATACATGTGATCTGTGGTCGGAAAGGGGAAGGAAGCATTTTTTGAGAACACTTACCATGTTAATTTATATATTTTTGCTAACATCAGAAAGTATAGATTGCAATTAAGTCTACCGACTTTTTTAAAACTCGATTGAGAAATAGGGTCCTTTTCAGATATTAAGTCAAAATAATGTGAAAAAATTAATATTTTCATTCGAAAAAATTACAGAGAGCTTAGAATAAAAAAAGGTTACTTTACCCCAAGTTACCTAAAAGAAGCTTTGTTAATTCGATTTTTACATAAATTTTGAGGAAAAGTAGATTACCTACAACTTTGCCATTTAACTATTTTGCACAGGACTTTGTCTCCTTAAAACTTAGAATGAAATTAATTGTTGGCTCAATATTCACCTTAGATGTTAATTTCAACGATTTTCTGTAACTATACAATTTTTTTGAAATCAAAGATTATATAAAGCGTTTTTTAATTATGGAAGTAAAATTTTAAACGTATTTTAAAACATCACAAAATAAAAAAAAAATATTTTTTATTTTTTTTGTCAGGTAAATAGAGAATAATAATCACTGAGATGCTGGTAAATACTTATCAAATAACTAAAAATGTGTTCAAAACGCTTTTCAAGGTATAGAATCCATTAAGGGTGACTTGCTTTCGGGGGAAACCACAGCTCAGTCTCTTTAAATAAGACAATGAATTAAGCAAAGGCTATTAACGACTCGATCCTGAAAATTTTAGATTTCCGCTCGCTTCTTTTTGCATAACTAAGCTGTGATGAATATAGGAAAATGATCTACTAGCCCTAACCTATTGAGCTAGTCAGAGATGAGAAAAAATTTATCAAACGAAAAACAACAAGATATTTAATATTCGGCCTTTTTCAACAAGAGACCAGATCTGAAAAGATATTTTGGCGTGAGGTAAAATTCGGTTTTCATTTTCACAACTTTTCTCATATACCCTCATATACTCAACACATACATATATGTAGGAGTACATATGTATTATCTACCAAAAATTAATATTACTAGAGAATTTGAACTGCATCGAACTAGCTTTTATACAACAACCGCTAATTGTTAGCCAATAGAAAACTAATTTAGTCAAAGTATGTCGAGACATTTTTTTTACTTTTACACATTTTTTTTTTTGACAACGAAAATGCAGCAATTTAGCCATCGGAAAAAGCGGTATGTATGTATGTATGTCTTCAGCTATTAGTGCAACTGATATTGCAAACTAGCTGTGGTATAGAATTGAATTGGTGTATTTGTATAAATATGTATGTATGCATGTGCAGACAACCGGGAAGACTTACAAAAGAAGACGGGTGGGCTCAAGATCATCCAAAGCTTGCATGTCTACGTATAATTATATAGAGAAGGGTATTTATTGCAGCATAAACACAGGCACGCAACTACAAAAGTATATAAACACACGTTATATACTTCATGGACAAAAATATACATACTTACATATATATGTAGGTACAATGAATTTCATATATAAATACATAAAAAGTCCAATAGATAGATAAACAAACAAGTACAAGTTCTCGAAAACACAAATGGAAAAAAGCAAAAGGTAACAAAAAACAGCAAGCAAAAAGGCAAACAAGCGCATGTGTATGCGGCGTGGAAGGTAGAAGTACTTGCAAACACTTCCATCTAGAAGCTTACTTACAAATACACATGCTTATAAGTTTGCACGTCTTTTCACAAACACATATGTATGTAGATAAATGTACATACATATATTATACATATATCAGACATTTAGCCGATGTATGACGAGTTCGCCACCGCGGTACTGCCACACTCCACATTTGTGGCTCTCATAAGCGCAAGCAAGTTTCAGTTGTATGGTATTACTACGCCTGAAAGCATCAACCTAAATTAGCGCTCTTAAGTTATAGACTTAAAATTTTTTACAAAGTATTTAACAGAGTCCTTTGTGCGCATCATTTTGTGTTTAATATCCTGAAAGGACACTACAACAAAAGTATACATATAGAGAGAGAAAGTGAAGTGCCAGTGAAAAGCAAATTTTATCTAATGGACAGCAGACACACACGCACACAAGTGTTTATGCAAAATAATAACAAAACTTTCCTTTAGTTAATTGAAGGGTTGAACTACAAGTTTTTCCAGTGGTTAATTTTTTTTTTTTTTAAATAAAAGTGTACAAACAAATTGCATACAAAATGCCGGTTGATATATGCAGTCGCCCCACATTCACGCTGGAGCCGTATGTATAATTTTTTATATTCATATAAATATGTTTAGTGATTAAAAAATAAATAATTTATCTATTTCTGCTCGATACAAAATATGACCAATTTGTGTCAGAATTTCTGAAAATTTAATGCAATATATTTACGAAATTATTGAAAAATGGTAAAAGAATTGAAATTTATTTAAAATAATTTTTAAGATAGTACCAAACTTAAAATTATTTGAATTTTTTATTTTAATAATTTTTATCATTTTAAAATAAGTTTCAATTTTTTTACAATAATTTTTAATATATTATTGAATATACGGTATCGAATATCTGAATATTTATATAAATATATTTACGAAAATACTAATAATTTTAAATAACTTGTAATTTTTTTTAGAAATAATTTTTAATATTTTACCAAAATTAAAATTATAGGAAAATTTTTTAAAATAATTTTTAATATTTTAAAATATTTTGCTATTTTTTTCATAAT